TGTATTTTGTTATTTTTTGCTATTTGTGTGGCAAACCCACAGAGGGTTGGAACAGCCATTGGGGGCATCCCTGGGGGTAAAGGAAACAAGGGGAGATCACCCTGGACACAGGATCTCCTGGTTCCTGGAACATCCTCCCACCAAGTGCTTTTCCCAGCACCACACACGCAGACGGGGTACGAATTCCAGTTTGGGTGTCTATAAAACCCATTGAGATGAGAGAAATAATTCAGGAGGAAATTATTATTTAATAATAACACTGAGCAAAGGCGTCATCTTGTTAAATCCTTGTGAAACAGCCAAGTGGGTGCAGAGCTCAGCTCTTCTGGTTCTCCGAGAGGCTGGGATCCGTCTGGAGCTGTCAGCACGGCTGGGGGAGGCGGGTGCAGACACGGAGATGATAATAATAGCTCACAATTAGGGTAGTAAATCAGGAGAGAGCGTCACTCAATTCAGAGAAATTCCCCTGATTTGCTGGAGACGGGAGTTTGGCTCTTTGCACGGAGCTGGTGCTGTTTGGATGACAAATCCCCCTGGTTCTGCAGAACCTTCACAAGGCGGCAGCAGGAGGAGCACGTTGGAAATTCAGCTCCTCTTGAATTATTCCTTGCCCAGCCTCAGTTTCTATGTATTGCATAAGGATCAGCCTCAGGCACATCATTTTCAGCATTCAACCCACCCTGCCATGGCAGATCTGCCTCCAGAAAAGGCTAAAATGGTGCAGCTGACATTAAAAACCCTCAGCCAGGGTATCCTCCTGCCCAAGGAAACCCATAGTGCAAGGGCTGGTTGTGAAGGATTCCCAGTTTTCCTGCAGGGTTAGAGATTAATTTTCAATATTGGGATCTAGCTGGGACTTGGGAAAATACAATTTTTGTTTCAAGATGAAGAGGGGTGTCAGGAGGAGCAGCAGGATCACATCCCCCAGTGCTGCACCTGCTGTCTGTCTGTGCCACCCCCTGCTCCAGGCACCTCAGGGAGCTAAAATTCTGTGATTTATCCCTACCATGTCTCCACATCCCCCTGGATGACTGGGCACCACACTGGGCACCGATTTTCTCAGGTGTTCAAGGTGTTCCAGGCCCTCCATCCCACCCCAAGGTGTCTCTGGAGAGATCGATGTTGGCTCTGGTAACTCCATGCAAACCTGACTGCTGCATATGGAAATAGAAATATTTCCCATTGCCTCCTCCAGCACTTGTGCCTTGGGTGCCAGGAGCCTTGTGGGACTTGTTGCTTCCTTGGTGCTCCTTGTGGGGCCACAGGGGGATGGCAGAGTGGTCCAAACCTCGTGCCTGAAGGCAGGGATTGATCCATAGGTCTTGTATGTTGGTAGGAGCTTGGCCATCTCCTTCCTTTGGGATGGGAGAAGTCTCCTCATGAAGGGACCTCAGTAAATACAGAGTGATACAAAATTATTGCTTTTCACATCCTCACCCCAGCCAAGGGCAGCTCCTGCAAGTCCAGTCCTGCTCCATCTCCTTCCCCAGAGCTGCAGGGTGTTTCTCCAGCCCCCAGATCTCCCCGAGCAGATCCAGGCTGTTCCCAAGAGCATGGGATGGATTGGAGCCGCATGGCAAGGCTGTGTATCCAGGGATATGATTATTTCCCAGTGGTTGAAATCTAGGTCTCCTGCTTGGGAGGAGGGCTGCGGGGGGGAGGGGGAATATTTTCTAGATATTTAAGAATCTTATGAATATTCATGGAGAAGCTGAGCTGCCTTCGGAGGTTGACTCCGGGGTACGAGTTTGGGGGGCTGTAGGTGAGAGGTGCCGGCAGCGGCGGGAGCAGAGCAGCTGCTTGTGCATTCTCCGCATGCCTGACTGCAGAGCCGAGTGTAAGTTGGTGCCTTTTTCTCTCCCCCCCACCCCATCCCTGCATCCTTCCCCCTCTTCCCGCTGCTCCCCTGCCTAAACACAGCCTGGCCGGGAGCGGTGCAAAGCGAGGGAGTCGTGCTTCAGTCGCAAACACGACCCCAAATCTTGTGACTGCCGCCTGCAGTGCTCAGTGCGGGCGGAGAACAAACTGAGGGGCTTTGGGCAAATCTTCACCTCCTCCATCCCCCCCTTCAGCCCCCAAATTTGCATGAATTAACCCTAAAGATGCTTGAAGTGGGGGGCGGAGGTTGTTTGCCAGGACAAGCAGCGATGGGAAGAGAGTAGGAGAAACTGAGTGTTGGGATGGGTGATGTCAACTGAGACGATGCCGTAAAACCTCTCCGCCAAGCACCGAGCATCAACGCTTGGATTTGGAGTCGGAGGAAGAAGCCCAGAGCCCGTGCCAAATAAAAATCAACATGTTAAATAAAAACAAAGTAAATTTCTGTGCTGTTAAACAAATCTGGGGTGTTTGGGGAAGGGAGAAAGGGGAGGAGAGAGTTTATGGGCAGGAGGAAAACGGCGTGTTTATTAAAAAAAAAACAAACAAAAAACAAAACCAAAAACATTGAAGGTTGGTTGATCTTTGGTGAGATGGAGGTTTTGTGGCTGCCAGATCTTTCCTGCAGCAGCAGGAAGATGTTGTTTGTGGTGTTCTGGCGTGATGCTCAGAGGAGCCAGGGAAGGTCAAATCCAGCTGAACTCCCTGGTGAGTCGCTGGGGAGCGAGTGGTGGGGAGAAAATGCAGAAAAAGGATAAAAACTGGGACAAACGCGACCTCCTCTCCTCTGGGCCTGGCAGAAAAGGGTTAAGAGAAGCGGTTGAATGCTGCAAGCCTCGTCAGGGTTGTACTATTTTTTCTAGTGCATAAGGAGAAGGGAGAGGAGGGTTGCACGGAAAAGGGAAATTTCCAAGAAAAGAGGGATCTGCGGCAATATCTGCACCTCGGGGGATGAAGAGAGGAACCAACAGGCATAAATGGCCTGGAGATGGCTGAAATCTTTGCCGAGGAGATTGGGACCGCGGGGATATTTTCCACCTGCCTCCCCTGCCCGGTTCTGTAATCCTGGCTCAAAGTAGACAAGTCGAGTTGGAGCTGAAGAAGGGAGGTTAGAGGGGTTTTTATTTCATTTGGGAGGGGAAAAAAAAAAAAAAAAGGCAAAAAAATGAGAAGCTGGTTGTCCCTCTCCGGCCTGAGCATCTCCATGGTGCGAGGCAATGCAGGATGATCCAGGGCAGCGCTCGCCGGGAGCAGGGATGCTGAGGACCCGGCGCCCACCGGGGACATGAGCCTCAACATCCCCACCAGAAATTTCACCCAACGGAGTCCAATTCCCACGGGGGTGGGTCGGCCGGGGGGTTGTCTCTCGGGAGGATGGGGAGGGTGGATGCAGGTGGCGTGGGTCCCGCGGCCGGGGCCGCGGTGCTCGTGGGTGCTCGGAGCCATCAGCGTGGGGCTGGTGGCCTTGGCGGGGGGACAGCCGGGGAGCGGCGGGGGGCTCGCTCCGGTGGGTGAAGCCGGAGCCTCCTGAGTCACCGGGGAACGCGACGCAATGGCCGTGGGTGCTGTGCCCGGTGGGTGACACCGACTCCCGGCTGCTGGCGGGGCTGGGAACCTTCCGTGGCTTTGCAGAGCCTCGGCTGCCGGGGGGGCTGCGTCGTTGCCCCCCCGCTCCTCCGCCTGGCACGGGCTCGGCGGGCAGCCGGCCCCGCTGGGCTGAGCAGAGCCCAGGGACACGGGGCTCGCGTTTTTTCCGCCTCGGCGCTGGCGCTCTCGCCCTCGCCTCTCCGGTGTTGCAGTGCGGGCTGGGCGGGCGGCTCGCGGCCGGGGAGCGCCCGGAGGAGCCGCGGCTTTGCGGATGCTCCTTGCGAGCCCCCACAGCTTGCTACCTTCTCGGTGTTTTTTCCAGGCGATGCCACACCTCCCGAGGACACTGGGGACATCGGGTTTTGCTGAGCTTAGCAGCTTTTCACCGTCTTACCGAAGGCATCAGACAGACGCTCATCTGCCCTGAAGTGCAGATCTGCAACAGCTCCCGGGAAGACTCTGTCTCTCTGTCTCTCTGTCTCTCTTTCTCTCTCTCTCCAGTCCAAACCATTACAAGACCTGACTTCCACCATCTGGGAATCTAACCCCTCTTATGCCCCTTCTCCTTTTTCTACGATGACTCACCATTATTTTTAACTTTGAAGAGAGAGGAAATTATGGGGATCTTGGAAGCCTGTATTTCTCTCTAGGATTTCCCCAGGGTCAGATAATCGGTGTTACTAAGAGACACTAAGATTTGGCTTCTCCAGGTAATGTGATTTGTTTTCTGTGTGCCATGGTGGTTTGCAGAGAATGACAGGAGCCGGGACACCAGCGCTCGAGGAGGGGGACTGCGGTGGTCCGCGGGGCAGCTGGAGCCGCCGGCTCCACATTCCGGCAGCCGCAGAGCTCGGCTGCAGGCAGGGAGGGCAGCATGTCACCAGGGAAAGAGGACTGGGAAGGTGTTAAACTTAAAAGCGGAGCTGGAGCTTTCCTGGAGGGTAGATTGCCTGAGATCGCACGGTTAAATATTAATTAACCCTTAGCTGCATGCCTGGAAATGAGCTGAGCCCGGCACCCCGCGGGGTCCTCTCGCCACTTCAGGGCTGGATGGGCTTATTTTTCTTCCTTCCTTTCTCTTCCCTTCCCCCTCTTTATTTTTTTTTAAACTGGAATTTTTATTTTTAGCCAAAAAATAAGCCCTGGTTTACCAATGCCAGTTTTTCCACGCTGGTTTTGAACAGGTGATGGTTCCTCAGGTGTTTTCTCTGTTCCACCTAATGGGTTTAGATGGGAGTTGTTGAACTCTGTCCCAAGGAAGGCAAATTAACCCCTCCAGGAAGGGGATAGACGTGCTAGAGAAGGGATCTGCTCTCCTCCCACCAACTTTATTCCATCTCTCTCTTTCTCAGCAGGGGCGATTTTCTTTCTTCTTCTTCTTTTTTTTTTTTTTTTTTTTTTTTTTTTTTTTTTTTATCCCTTCCCCTTTTTTTGAAACTTTTCTCATCCCTTCGCCTTTTCATGAGACTCTTCCAAACCTACGTACCTGTCCTTCTGCAGGATAGTAGCCCTGCCCTGAACCCGATCCCACCACCGGGCGCTGGGAAGAGTTTAGCATAAGGATTTCTTTTAAAGCCCAATAATGACAGTTGCTACTGGAGATCCTGCAGATGAAGCTGCAGCTCTTCCCGGTCACCCGCAGGACACGTACAACCCTGAGACCGACCATGAGTGCTGTGAGAGGGTGGTCATTAACATCTCGGGGCTGCGCTTCGAGACGCAGCTCAAGACACTTGCCCAGTTTCCAGAGACCTTGCTAGGGGATCCTAAAAAGAGGATGAGATATTTCGACCCTCTCCGGAACGAGTATTTCTTTGACCGGAACAGACCCAGCTTCGATGCCATTTTGTACTATTACCAGTCCGGGGGCAGGTTGCGGCGGCCGGTTAACGTGCCCTTGGACATCTTCTCCGAAGAGATCCGCTTCTATGAACTGGGGGAAGAGGCCATGGAGATGTTCCGGGAGGATGAAGGCTACATCAAGGAAGAGGAGAGGCCGCTGCCTGAGAACGAGTTTCAGAGACAAGTGTGGTTGCTCTTTGAGTACCCCGAGAGCTCAGGCCCTGCCAGGATTATAGCTATTGTCTCTGTCATGGTGATTTTAATCTCCATCGTCAGCTTTTGCCTGGAAACGTTGCCCATTTTTCGGGATGAGAATGAAGACATGCACGGTAGCGGGCTGAGCCATCCCCCCTACTCCAACAGCAGCATGGGGTACCAGCAGTCCACTTCTTTCACAGACCCCTTCTTCATCGTGGAGACACTTTGCATCATCTGGTTCTCCTTCGAGTTCTTGGTGAGGTTTTTCGCCTGCCCCAGCAAGGCTGGTTTTTTTACCAACATCATGAACATTATAGACATTGTAGCCATCATTCCCTATTTCATCACCTTAGGGACAGAGCTGGCTGAGAAGCCAGAGGATGGTCAGCAGGGCCAGCAAGCCATGTCCTTGGCCATCCTCAGAGTCATCCGCTTGGTGCGGGTCTTCAGGATCTTCAAGCTCTCCCGGCACTCCAAGGGGCTGCAGATCCTGGGACAGACTCTCAAGGCCAGCATGCGGGAGCTGGGCCTCTTGATATTTTTCCTCTTCATCGGCGTCATCCTCTTCTCCAGCGCCGTCTACTTTGCCGAGGCCGACGAGAGCGAGTCCCAGTTCCCGAGCATCCCCGATGCCTTCTGGTGGGCTGTGGTTTCCATGACGACTGTTGGCTACGGAGACATGGTCCCCACCACCATCGGGGGGAAAATAGTGGGTTCCTTGTGTGCCATCGCTGGCGTATTAACGATTGCCTTACCAGTGCCCGTCATAGTGTCTAACTTCAATTACTTCTACCACCGGGAGACCGAGGGAGAGGAGCAGGCTCAATATTTGCAAGTAACCAGCTGCCCAAAGATCCCCTCTTCCCCTGACCTAAAGAAAAGCAGAAGTGCCTCTACTATTAGTAAGTCTGATTATATGGAGATCCAGGAAGGTGTAAACAATAGCAATGAGGATTTTAGGGAGGAGAACTTGAAGACAGCCAATTGCACCCTAGCTAACACAAACTATGTGAATATCACCAAAATGCTAACTGATGTCTAGTCGCTAAAATCTAGTCCCGTATTTAAAGCTGAAGTGGAACAATTGCAGATATTGAGTGCTGCTCTGCATTGTAGTTAATACAGTATTTTCTACGGTGTATATTTGGTTCTGCATGGGAAGCAATAGCTGTGTAAGTGACTTTTAACCTTTGATTTCTGCACCGAATAAGCGTCCGTGCAAAAAAAACCAACAAACCCAAACCATTTTGTTGCACTTCTCCCATCCCAGGCTCGTGGGTTTCCAAAGATACGGAGGGGACGGGCACTTCCAGCAGCGGGATGGGGATGGAAGGGGCAGGTCCGGGTCATCCCGGCTGCCACAAATCCTGGTCCCTGTCCTGGGTGACAGCCAGCTCCCAGGCACAGGGAACAGCTGGGAAAGGTCAGGCAGGGCTTCCTGGAGGGCGGCTGCAGGCGTGGGGCCGGGCTGCTGGAGGGCTCGGCTCCTGCCCCGGGAAAGGCGAGCGCGAACGCGGCGCCCGGCTCGTGTTTCATAACTGAAAATGCTGCATGCTGCAATAGTTTCAGCCACTGCAGTGTGCCAGTGTGAGGCCCAGGGGAGGGATAATTAGTGTGACGGCACATTATTTATTAAGTCTTAAATTTTCTATGCGAGGCATCGGGAGGGATGAGTAAATAAATCAAGAGCTTGGAATTTATTTATTTATTTAGATGACACTTCCATCATCAATATTTCCAGGATCACCAAAGACACCTCCACTGACACATTGAAAATGAGTTGGAAAAAGCATCTTTTTTTATATCTATATATAAAACTGGAGCAACTATGCTGTGGCCTATAATATATTTATACTGCAGTGAAATTTAACCAGTAATACAGTACAGCTGCATGGATATTTGTTGCATGAATCTGAATATTTAATACACACACAAATATATATTTTCTTAGTAGACTATACAGTATTCATGTTTATAGTGTTTATAGATTCTCCGGTGGCTCGAAGGAGATTCATGGGAATTAAAAAATCTCCATTATAGTTAAAAACCGGATGGGGAAGGCGTGTGCTGACAACAGTTGGATAGATAACAGTGCAAAGCCTGAGAGATAACCAGGCAAAGCCTGAGTGTCCGAGCATCCAGACACGAGAGCTGACGAACGCAAGCCAGGGAAGGTGAGCTGAAAGTTAAACACCTGCGCTCATTATGGGGCGAGTAATTAGTCATTAATCGTGGTGTCAGGAGCAGAAACCACGGCGGATCGGAGAGGGCACGAGGAGCAGGTGGAATAGCAGGTTCCAGCCCTCCTGACTTGTTTGTTCAGCAGTTTTCAGCCATTCCCGTAGAATTCCTCTGTGTGTGTGTGTGTATAGATATTTAGAGAGCGACTACAGGCCGAATCCTCAGCAAACAGAGCTCCTGGGGTATCAAGGGTGACCTAGCTCAGGGCTGCTGGATGGTGGGATGTGGGCTGGAGCAGGGTGGCCTGCCCCTGGAGCCCGTGGGGTCACCAGGGCAAGGTGGTTTTGGGCTTGAAAGCTCCTTTTTAACGCCCTCAGGGCTGGGGTTTATTCCTTTATGATGGAATGGGCAGGTGCTGAGGTGGTCTGGATCTGAGCTGGCACCTCTGAGCCTTTGCTTTGCCTTCTTTCAGGGTGTTAAGAGCAGTGGGTCAAGGTGCAGAGACCCTGAGGTTCTCTTTCGTCTTCATCCCTGGTTATATGGGGATGGGTGAGAGCTGTTGGTCCATGGGGAATCTCACCTGCTTTCCCCATCCCTGTGTGGGTGTGCTTGTGTTTTCCCCATTGCTGACAATCCTCAGGGAGAGGTTCCTTGTTCCTCTTCCAGGTCAGGGGAGATGAAGGAAAATCTCTGCCAAGGTCACGGATGAGCAAAGCCTCCCTGGGCTGTGTAACGGGGTTCAGTCAGGGTGAATTTGGGCAGAACTGGGGCATGATCAGCCCTGAAACATTGCATGAAGGGTGAGCACAAGGAGCTTGGGGAGGGCGCAGCCAGACCCTTCCTTCCTCAGAGAGGAAACCCCTGCTCCTGACAATAATCCAACTGGTGCTAAAGTATCTACAGCAGTGGTTCCAAATGCCACTCCAGAGCAGGATCCATCTTGTGCTGATGGGGCTCCACTTGGCCAGGTGGAATCAGTCCTCAGTTTTATTTGATTGATTGATTGAGATTGATTGAGGTCTGGCTACAATTAATTCCAAGTGTCCATGGTTTGTGCATGGCAGTCCCTGCTCCTGCGTGGGGCAGAGGACCAGCAGCATCCCTGTGCTGGGGTTCAGGGATGCTCAGGTCCCCAGCCTGTCCTTAACTGGGTCTCGTTCTACTGGGAGTTCTGCACTCCGCTTTGCTGGGGCAGCCTGGGAATGGGAGACCCCTCCACAGTTTTATTTGATTGATTGATTGATTGATTGAGGTCTGGCTACAATTAATTCCAAGTGTCCATGGTTTGTGCATGGCAGTCCCTGCTCCTGTGTGGGGCAGAGGACCAGCAGCATCCCTGTGCTGGGGTTCAGGGATGCTCAGGTCCCCAGCCTGTCCTTAACTGGGTCTCGTTCTACTGGGAGTTCTGCACTCCGCTTTGCTGGGGCAGCCTGGGAATGGGAGACCCTGGAGCCCCTTCATGCACGCACACAAAAAAGCCAACACAACCAAAAGCAATAAATCCTGAGTTCTGAAGCTCATCCTGTTGGATGGGACAGGGCTGGTGAGAGTCTCCAGCTCAGGCACCATTCCCAGGGCGGTCAGCCAACTTCCATGGACCCAGCTCCTGGTGACTCTGTGGGGACATGGGCTCACACAGGGGAGCTGCCTGATGTGCTGGGATCCTCTGGGTGCCCTCAGCACCAGGGGATCCCATTCCTGGTCAGGGTTGAGGTGTTTTGCTGGTGGTTTTGTTGCAGGTTCTTTGGAGGATGCTGGCACTTGGTGAGGCTTTGAGAAGTGTCCGGTTATTGAACACCCACCGTGGGCTTGGGGTGGTTTGGAGCAGCGTTGGCCAAAGCTTTGGGTGTGTGTTGCAGTGTTTTGGTGAGGAGGAAGGTGAGGTTTTCCTTTGGGGAGGTGGGGTTTTCGGCATGGTGCTCCTGGGGGCTTTCCAGGGCCAGGCAGGAGAGGAGAGCAGATCTGTGAGCAGGACCCAAACATCCAAACCCAATCTCCAGCCTGGGGTGTCCTGGATGCCTTGGGAAACTCCACAGCCACCCAGCAGGGGCAAATGGGGATAAAGAGCAAGAGGCCACAGTGCTGTTGTCACGGACATGAGGTGATGACTGTCCCCATGGCAGGGCCAGCACAGCCAGTCCCTTCCTTGGGACAGATCCAGCACCTCCTGCCCTGACCCTGGCAGATGTTCCTGGGGAAAATGAGCCCTGGTGGGAGAGCTCTGGGCTGCCCTTGTGTGGGACACAAGGAAAAGGCCCAGGCTCAGTGCTCAGCTGTTTGGCTCAGGGTGGGTGAAGGCCATGGCTCAGAGGGATCCGTGGCTGCACAGAGCAGAGGGGTCCAGACTTCTGCCTCGCACAGAAATGGTTCCCCTACAGCTTTTAATGGGATTTGTGCCTGCAGGTCGGAGCTCTAGTGCTATTTCTAGCTTTGCTTCTGACTCACTGATGTGATCTTGAACCAGTTTTTCAGGAGGAGACTGTGATATTTTTTCTTCTTTTTTTTTATATATTTTTTTCTTAAGGAATGTGGTTTGAGAGAGTCTGGGCCTGTTTCTGTGGAGATGCTGAGCATCCCCATCTCCTCCTGACTCTGAAAGGTGCAAAAATGAGCTGCAAAGTGGCTCAGACTGAGGATGCTAAATTAGGGATTGGGAAAGGGGATGGTCCCATAGATGTGTTGGAGTTCATCAGGCCCCTAAACAGAGGTAGTCTGGGTCCTTTCCTCCTCCTGAGGAGCCATTTCCCTCTCTCCAGGCCTGGAATGGAAGACTGGAACTCTCTGGTCTGTGGAGGTGCTCCTGCCTTGGCACCCGGAGGAGGCAGCGCCTCTATTTTAGTTTGAGCCACTGTGCCACGGTTCTGGAGAGATGGAAAGCTGTGATTGCAGAGCGGGCTGTCTTCTAACACCCAACCTCGTGCCCAAGCCTGCAGGCAGCCCATCAGCCCTTCCAAATCTTCCAGAATATCTGCTGGGGGCAATGGGGTGAGGCTCATGTACCAGCTGGATGCTACCAAGTGATTAGGAAAAAATGATCTCTCTGGAGCACGATGTTTTATTGGGAAAATTAATCCCTGCAGTGACTGTGTCAAAGTCCTACAGATCTGAATGCTGAGCTATAAGAAGAAAAGGATCTCTGGATTGGCGTTATGAGAGTGTGGCACGTGGGTGTATAAATATGGGCATATTTGTGCATAAATACACAGAAGGAGAGAAAAAGACAGAGGAGGAGGAGGTATTTCAGGAAGGACCTTGCTTTGTTATTAGATAATTCCTGGGTCAACCCTTGAAACTGCTGCCAAAGCCTTGTAGCTTTTCCAGAGCTTGCAATATACTTGGGGATGGATCCAAGGGAAGGAGATCTGGATCTTGCCTTGGGAGTGGAAGCATCCTGAGGGTCTGGTGGCAGCCAGCTCCTCACACCCCTCTGCAAACAGCAGCTTTGCAGTGTCTCTGTTGCCAGCCCCAAGTCCCCGCTTGTGCCAGTCACAACCATCTCTGTGACTGTGCCAGCAAAGCCAAGCAGGGTAGAAGGGATTTGGTTGAGATGCAGGTGCTGTGCTGCACTGAGTGGCCTTTGGGGTTGTTGTTTGTAATGGTTGGGGGTTAAGTCTCCTAAACTATTGTGACTTCTGGTCCCAGTGTGGTGGCTCCTACTCTGGAGCCAGGGCGGTGTTATCACAGAATCCTGGAATGGTTTGGGTTGGAGGGACCTCAAAGCTCACCTTGTTCCACTCCCTGCCATGGACAGGGACACCTTCCACTAGACCAGGCTGCTCCAAGCCCTGTCCAGCCTGGCCTTGAAACCTTTTCTCAAGACCTTTCCCATGAGACCTTATCCCGAGGTCTACATCCTTGGGGGTGGTTATCCATGGGAGTTTTCCCTGGTGGGTCACTCATGGGAACTGCTCAGTCTGCTGCAGGGGTGAAGTGGGCTGAGGAAAGAAGGAGTCAGCCCCAAACCCTTTTGGTTTGCACCCAAATGAAGGCTGTGGCTCTTTCCTCAGCCCCCTGGCAGCATTTGACCCTCTCCACGTGACACATCCCTTGGTCCCTCCTGTTGGGGACCAGCTGCTGCCCCTGCCAGGAGCCCCAAGGGGGGACAAGGGTTGCCCCCAAGCACTGGCCACTGCTCTGCCCCTCCCCAGCCCTGTCAGCACCCCTGGCCTCGGTGTCCCGTGATGTTTCTGCATTTGGCTGCCCAAAATTCACCCCCTGCTCAGAAATGGGTGCTCCATCCTGCTCCCATCACCAGGAGAGGGCCCAGCCCAGGGGTGAAGCAGCCCTGGAAGCACAGCACTGATTTACACCTGGGGACAGATCCCCCAGCCCAGTTATGCATGATGAGAGATAAATCCCTAATTCATGTTTTTCCTCCAGAGAGGGGATGGTTTGGCTTCTA